TTGATCAATGAACATAAATTGGTCTTACGGGTCTCACGAAAAACCCTTGGTCTCACGTGAACCCAACCCTGTATATGTATATGTATATATATGTATATATGTATATATATATATATATATATGTATGTATATGAATAATTTTATATTACGGCAATTATTTTGTGCCATGGCTACAAAATTTCTATGTTCACCTCTGGTCTCTCTGCCTTGAAATGGAGGTAAGGTCTTCGTACATTCTACTTCCAATACATTCCGCGGGATGTGCGAGATAGACCGGATTCGTGGGTTTGTTTGGTTTGGTATGGTTTACATTTTACAACCGTAACTAAGAATGTCGCTTTATATGTGAAACGTTATTTGGTGATAGGTTGGCTTCATTTGAAACTAGTGGAGAAAGCAAACGAAGAGAGTGTGGTTCTTCCCGAACACAATCTAAAGCCCGGTGTAGGTGCCGCAATCGAAAGGCTTGGAGGGAACCCGAGTGAATAATAATACCGTCTCCATAATTCTTGAACTGTGTCGTACCAACGAGTATGTTTATGCCAGCATGAGAAAGTGATTAAATATACGACAGTCGCAAGAACGTAAAGCAGGGAATGCTTTCTTATGTTAAGGTTATGTTGGATACCGAGCCAACGAATCTAGGATCCAAAATTTTGTAAGGTATCATCTTGTTTTTTCTTAACTGTAATAGGATGCTTGTTTATGAGATGTATGCAGATCTGACATTTTTAGTTCAATAGAGCTTTATCATGAAAGGTATTTGTGGACCAAAATATCTGAAAAGTAAATTACGTTTTTGTCCCTGTAGTTTGTTAGATATTGCAGATTTCATCCCTGTGGTTTTAAAAGTATAAAAACGAGAATAAAAAATTTCAACAAACCACAGGGACTAAAAGCATAATTTACTCAAATTGAATTGAAAACTATTATATTTATTTGAGTAGTTACAAATTTGGTCCATGTAGTTTGTAAATAACAATTTTTGTTCCATAGTTTTGAAGTTACATGATGATTGTCGTGGTTTGTAAAAATGTCCAATATTTGGTTCATCCTTCTAATGGCCTTTAAAAAATTTCGTTAAAAAATTCACTAAATACGCTCATACCCCTACGGTTTGCCTTTCCTTCTTGTAATATCCTTAAAATGAAGAACATTCACTATCCGACCTCAATTTGTTCCCCATTCTCTCTGCCTGGCGACCCCTCCCCCTATTTTTCGATAATCCCCTCACCCACCAACTCCATCGCACGAAACCTATCCCCATCGATGAAAATCCACAGCAACCACTCCAGTTCTCCATTTCCATCCGATCGCTCCACCTTTCCATCTCGATCCCCTCCATTTTTTGAGCCCGGAACAATCAACCATGGGCCACAAGCAGTCCATCTTCTTCAACCACGAATTGAAGAACACCCTACATATTTGGAATCATCGAAAATGTCATACTGGTTTGTGTATATATGTTCTTCAGCAAAAGCAGAGAGAAAAAAAAGGGATATTGTGGTGGGTATTTTCCGGTGGTTTGCATTCTTCATTTTTATGAATGATTTGCCTCCAAGTTGTTACAACTTGGATGCAAATGGATTTTCAAAAGGAAAATGAAAGTTGATGGGACAATTGATAAGTTCAAGACTCGTTTAGTCATTCAAGAATTTAAGCAAAAACCCGAAAATGACTATTTTGACACATATTCTCTTTCCACGTATTTCTACTATTATATTATTGGTTGTCATGACGGCTATACATAATTTGATTATTCATCAAATAGATGTTAAAACAACCTTTTTGAATGGTAACCTTCATAAAGAAGTTTACATGAAACAGGCAGAATGTTTTGCTATGCCCGGAAATGAGGATAAAGTGTGTAAACTTGTGAAATCTTTGTACGGGTTAAAACAAGCTCCTAAATAATGGCATCAAAAGTTTGATAAATGTGGTTTTGCTATAAACCAATGTGACAAATGTGTTTATAGTAGATTTGATGCTAATGGTGTAGGCATGATCATTTGCTTGTATGTAAATGACATGTTGATCATTGGGACTAACCAAAATCAGGTAGATGAAACTAAGAAATTGTTGTCATCTAAGTTTTTGATGAAAGACATGAGAGAGGCTGATGTAATCATTGGAATAAGGATTAAACAGATTAATAAAGGGATTATTATGACACAATCACATTATATTGAGAAAATTCTCAAGAAGTTCAGTTATGGTCATTTTTCTCCTATAAGCATTCATATGGTTCCTAGTATAAAAATTAATGCCAAATACGGGAAATTTGCGTTTATCATGAGAATTAATTTTATGCATCTCGGTGCACCACGTTAGTGTTGATCTTCAATTAAGATTAATTCAAGTGTGGAGATCCATTCTCACTATTCTCACAATAACTTATATTCTCATCAGAACCCAACCTAGCTTTTAAATAGTTGTACATTAATTTTTTTTATTAAAAACCTGCAAAATGACAGATATACCCTTATGTGACTTGCCTGTGATGGGCAACTCCAATAGCAAGAGACCTAACGACGAGGCATGTAAACCGTAACAAAACGTAAACCACAGGATTGTCGGTGTACTTAGGAAAGTCGAGGAACAAAAAGCAAGATTTTGGTAAACCACAAGGACAAAAATGTAATTTACTCTTGTTATTATTTAAAACATTAGTAATCAAACTATGTAATTTTAATATACAATTATAAACCAAATTTATCAAAAGTCTTGAAAATAATTTTTAATGCACAAAGTCTTAAAAACAACTCATAATGCATTAAGTACTATTACTTTATGCATTCGTTCTTAAAATATCTTAATCTACAATTAAAATAATATCATGTTCCCAATATATTTTTGACATTTTTCACTCATGTCTTAACCCTCTCATACCTCTATGTATTATCCCCATCCTCCAAAGTGAGATTCAAACTGATATTCACCATGAGTTATTAAAAATTATCTCTTTCATCTCTCGTTCAATTGCTCTAGAAATTTCGATCTCGCTATCAATCTCTTGATTCTTTGTTATTGGTGTAAATCGAACACATTTATAGAGTCGTTTAAATACATTAGATTTTAAATATATTAGATTTTAAACTGTCATACAAATTTTTCTATCGATAGACTATAATTGAAATTATAACCCTTATTTATTCAAATTGTATTAATACGTAAAGAATTATATCTTTAAATCTTTTATAATAAAGAGGGTAAAACTTCAGGATCTTAATACAATTACATTTTTGCAGGATATCGTATATATATTCATTTTTGGTAGAAGCCAGTAAACCACTCAAACCAGCCAACAACAATAACATCGTTCGTATCTCAACTCGAAGAACATCGTGGTTGATTTGAGTTCCTTTCATTCGCTCTCACCTTCCATTAATTGATTCACCCAAGAAGGTTAGTTATCTATCTGATTTTTCGATTGAACTGTTTGATCTTTCGATTTTGATGATTTTGCACCAGAAATGAAAGTATTAGTAACCCTAGTTCTTGTAATCATCATCCGCACGCTAATCGTCTGTTCAATTTTCCGAATGTAATCTCACTTTCATGATTTGAACTAACGAATTGTTATATGATCATCTAGTTATTAAAGCTTTAAGTCATATTGAATAATTTTGGTCAGTGGAATATGGATTATTATATTTAGATCCTTTGATTTTTCTCCAGATTCAGCTTTTGATTTTAGTTTTTCTCGATTATTTTGATGATACTAATTCGGAGAATACGTATTGTGAGAAGGTCACGGCGGGAAAGTTGGAAAGTCAAGGTGCAATCTTCTCTCCTGGTGAAGAAAAAGAAGATAAAAATTTGGTTGGTGCTTTTAACTATCTGATGATATTGACTTAAATCTATAGTGTCATCAGTTTAATTATGTACATGTATCTGATAAATCTGTGCATACAATAGGATGATGAATGGAGAGGGGGATAGTGAAGCTCTCCCTGAAGCTGTATCCTTGAATGATAGACTTGATGATGAGTTGTTAACATGGAAAGTTTCGGACCGACAATTATTGGATAGAAGTAATGAGGTATCACCAGTTTCATCACGTTACTCATCCTGTGGAGAATCAGAGTTTGATAGATACTGTAGTGCTAATTCTGTAATGGGTACACCTAGTTTGTGTGGTTCTGTTGGTACATTTCAGGACTTCCCCGATTCTGATATTGGGTGTGTGAAAAGTTTGAGAGTTGGGGATGTAGGTGTTCTGGAGAGTTTCAGTTTGGGTGGGAGGCTTGAGAGAAAAAGTGATGATAAGAATTCCTTAGCTTTGGGCAGATTGGGTGAATATCGTCCGAGAAGCGAGTCTTCTGATGTAAAGAGAGGTTTAAATAAGAGAAACAATGAAAAATCAGAACAAACGTTGGTGGTCAGGGAAAATGAAATGCACTCATATGATGAACTGGAAACTTCTTTTACAGATCTGCCAGATGGAGGGGGTGTGGTACTGTGGAAAGACGATATTAATTCAAAAAGAATGCAAAGTACTTCTACTCATAGGTCTCTTGTAAATAATATAAGCGCAGAAACAATGGAGAAGCAGAGGGTGGAAGAAGGTTCTGAGCCTCGCATGGGCATTGATCAGGTGAACAACATATTTGAAGGTGAAAAACACTTGGATGCACATTCTGAAGGGGAAACCTCAGCTCGGTTAGAACATTCAGAATCTGAAGGTTCTATGTTCGGCTATGGTACAGATGATGAGGAACCGACTGACTTGCCTCCCATAGGTTCTATGTGGAAAGATAATATTAATTCCAAAAGCATACAAGATACTTCTAATAAACCTGTTGTAAATAATATAAGTGCAGAAGCAATGGAGGAGCACATGATAGAAGGTTCTGCATCTTGTAAAGGTATTCATCACGTCAACAATGTTTTTGAAGGTGGACGACACTTGGATGAACGTTCTGACGGGGAAACCTCATCTATGTTAGAACATTCAGAATCTGAAGGTTCTATGTATGGCTATGGTACAGACATTGAGGAACCGACTGGTTTGTCTTCTAGAGGTTACCCCCATTATTCACAGGACAAGAAAAGCAATAGTGAGAACACATTGCTTATGACTTCAGCAATAGCATATGGTTCAAATGATTGGAATGATTTCATGCAAGAAACCATGGAAAACCCTCAAAATTTATTTGTCATAGATGAAAATCAAGGACACAACCAAAACGAAATTGGAAGTGGAGGACATGTCTCGAAATCCACCTTTGGGTGTCAAAGTATTGATGTGTCACAGAAACAAGAAAACGTGAAAGACTTTCATATGAACAATCAGATTGATGTTTCCCATGACTTGCCAATGTATTCTAAAACTCATTCAATAAGCCATATTGATTTATTGAAGCATGGGGAGGAAGATCGAGGACAGTTTGTGAATGATATGGCAGTCATTGCCAAACAAGCAGAAGATGTTAATCAGCTCAAGTTGGAGGAAGTTTCTCGAGTGGAGAAGGCCCCTTTGATGGATGTGCTTCCTAGGAAGCCTGAACATACAAATTCAAAAAAAACCACGGACAGTCTCACCAGCCATCTTAAACTTGGTCATGTTTCTTCAACTTTGACACAAGAAGCTGAAGACCATGTAGCTGAAATGCCCAAAGACAAAAGGCCCTTTTCACTGCAGTCATTGCCAAATATTAATGTGGAGAAAAAACCAAATGCTACTCCAATTTCATTCAATATTCCTGAAGACCTTCAAAAGGCAAGTAAGGTTAGTTATAAATTGCACTCTGAACCAGCATTTAAGTTTTCACACGCTTGACTATCATATTTTTGCCACATGAAACATACACCATGTGCCAGTGATAACTAGTGATTCATAAGCTGACAGATGGTCAATGCTAGGATTCTATTATTCTCAGTTGGGTGATGCTTCAATTCTGTAATTCAAAAACCTGTTGAACCACTCGCCATCCTTCTAGTTTAACATGTGTCAACCAAATATAATTTCGATCCGTCCTACATTTGACAATGGTCAAGCAGAAAAGCCTTTCCTCATTTTTTCTAATGTGATAGCCAGCGAAAATAGACAAAAGGATGAAAAGATTGGAAGGAGAGGAGAAAATTGCATCAAGGATTGCTACTTTGGTATTCTGTCTTTGTAATATATCTAACACATATCTATCCAAGTATTGATCTTATATGTTCATTGTGGAAATCTGCCCATTGGGTTAAACTATATGGGGTTAGTTATGATATTAGGAAAAAGCTTGTCTAGGATTGAAGGGGAAGAGGAGTATATGTAGGTCTGCATACAGGCATGCTGGCTATAATATTAATAACAAAAATGTAACCTGGCTATTTAATATGGCTAAACTAACTGGGCTTTTAATGCTTCAATGGAAATAAGCATGCAAGATCCTTCACATCGAAAAGTCAGTGTTAATGATACTACGGGTTAAAATGTTAAACCTCTGATCCTAATGCTGTGAAGTTCCTGTTATCTTAAGTGGCAGGAGAACTAGACGAACTAAAAAGCTTCTTGTTGTTTGTGGGTATGATTTTCTCTCCATGTCTCATGTTCAAAGGCCTTAGCGTTGTTAATATTGTCATTCATCGTACATGTCTTTTCTTTGCAACCTGATCGATGTTCTTGCTAAAATGCAAAGAAGATTATGATTTGCAATAAAGAGTAATTTTGGACAAAACATGGAAAAGTTGATCAAAATAAACCCATCAAATTGCTGATGTTTGCATAGTGTAGTGTTCTTTTCATTTTTAAAGAATAATGGTTTGTTGCAGGCCGTATGCAGTGGTTCAAAAAGTCAATACCTCCAAAGTTTTGCTGGGAAATTCCTTATAATAATACCCCTACGATTCTGAGACTTCATTTTGTTCTGTTTCATTTCTTGTAGAAAATCGGTATCTAATGGCAGAACTATCATGTTTTGGGTTATAAGTGGTCCACTGGTTGCTTGCTGCTATTTGTTAGTTTCAATGTTTTCATATCCTTGTATAGTGTTTCTTCCAACCTTGACGGTCTTTGATGTGCAACTCCTTTTCAGCTCTCTAAGCTCTCTCTCTCTCTCTCTCTCTCTATATATATATATATATATATATATATATATATCAGCATGCTAGTATTCTTTACTGAATAGCTTCAATTTCTGTAGATTTTTCGCTATAGATGATCGTAACTTTGCTACTGACACTTTGCAGGCAGAAAACTATGAACTGAATGAATTCTATGATGAAGTTGTCTATGAAATGGAAGAGATACTACTTGATTCTGGTGAGTCTCCTGCAGCTAGGTTCACCCGTAGTAGGAAACATCATTCCCAGCTTTCTCTCCCTTCAAGAGACGGTGGCTCTACTGCTTCAACTTCTAGTATCGACAACTCTCACTCAGTGGTTCACAAAATTGATGGCATCCAAGTAGTTGGTGCAAAGCAGAAGAAGGGGGACGTCTCACTGGGTGAAAGATTGGTCGGAGTGAAGGAATATACTGTCTACACGTTAAGGGTGTGGAGTGGGACCCATCAGTGGGAGGTGGAGCGGCGATACCGTGATTTCTTTACTTTGTATCGTCGTTTAAAGGCTTCATTTGCCAACAAAGGTTGGGATCTTCCTTCTCCTTGGTCATCGGTTGATCGGGAGTCCAGGAAATATTTCGGCAATGCCTCTCCAGATGTCATTTCAGAGAGAAGTGTTCTCATTCAAGAATGCTTACAATCTATTATACACTCCAAGTTCTCATCCAGTCTCCCTAGTTCTATGATGTGGTTCTTATCCCCACCAAAGACCGGGCCGGGTTCCCCTGTTTTTAACACACATATTTCTCAGTCACAAATTTCCTCTGGAAGCAAGCCTACACCAGTGTACACATTGGGGCAGTCAATATCACTTATTGTTGAAATCAGGCCTCACAAATCAATGAGGCAAATGCTAGAAGCACAGCATTATACTTGTGCAGGATGCCACAAATACTTTGATGAGGGAAAAACTCGGTTGTGGGAATTTGTACAAACGCTCGGGTGGGGCAAGCCTCGTGTTTGTGAATATAGCGGTCAGGTGTTTTGTTCATCTTGTCACATAAATGAAACTGCGATCTTGCCTGCTAGAGTTTTGCATTGGTGGGATTTTACAGAGTATCCAGTGTCTCAGTTGGCTAAATCATATCTGGATTCTATTCATGACAAGGTAATTTGAGTATTACCCACCTTATCTTTTACTAATCCTTCTTCCTTTGGACAACCGTTGATAATATTCCATATGTAACTCACTATAGTGAATCACAAATTTAGCTCTTTGACTGCCTTTCAATCTCATCCACTTATGCATATCCATGTAGACATCTCTTCTGGTAAGAAAATTCAGAAACATTTAAACTCTGTAAATAGACAATGGGACAAATTCTATCTAAATTAGGAATGAATGGCAATTCGAACCATTGTACCCAGCCTTTGGTTGTTAAAAAACCACCATATATCCTAAAATGCAAAAGAAAAAAGAACTATTGAAGTTGACAAGAATGCAAAGAGATAGACAAAAACTTTATCGCTATAATTAACAGATTTTGCCTACTGGACATCAAAACTTACGGACTGAACCAGGAAAAGGGAACAATATTTAACGGGCATAATATCATTAAAGGATTTTACATGTGGACACATCTAATATTGATAGCTTGGAGCATTTCATTAACAATAATATCATAAGCATGCCAAAATACTTTTAATTCGCTGTCACAGATGAGTCATGACTTATTTTTCTTTCTTACTCTTATGTGCAACTTTGATATTAAGGTTGGGTATAAAAAATAATGTAAATGGAAAATGTATTAACTTACTGGATTTTTGTATGTATGAAGAAAGTAAGAAAAATAGAAAATAAAGATTCATCGGATTAAGTTTATAAATTCCCATGTTTTTCTTTTCTTATACCCACACATCTTGATATATACGTAGTATATCTACAATGATAGCGTTTTTGTCATATTATGGTGCGATCATTTGGACAATCCAGTCAGGTAGGTGATTTGTTTGTTTTTGGCATTTCTATTTTTTTGTCAACTAAAGTGTATTTTGCCATTTAAAAAGTATTAACAACTCGTAAGCCCCCCCCCCCCCCCCCCCCCCCCCCAAAGGGTGGGCCGGCGCTTTTTTTCTGTTTGCATTTTAGAAAGTATAGTGGTGGTTTAACAACCTAAGGCAACCAATGTTTTTGAAATTGCCATTCACTCTTTAATCTTGATTGATATATTTGTTACCATGGAGTCTGGAGCTGCTATCTTTGCCCCCACCCACCCATCCACCACATACCCACACCCTTTATTTCTGTAAAATTTGGCATACATCTCAGAAATTTGACTATAAATATAAAATTTCCATCTTTGCATGAACTGAGGGTTATTGTGGTTGTTTCAATCGAACTATGAGTGTTTCTATATTTCTTGTGTGTACTCACAGCTTTTAATGTGAGTAATTCTTTTTTGTGGTTTTTCTTCTTTCAGCCAATGCTTTGTGTCAGTGCTGTGAACCCTTTCCTGTTCTCCAAAGTTCCACCTCTACAACACGTTATAAATGTCAGGAAAAGGATCGGGCGAATGCTTCCATATGTTCGTTGCCCATTTCGTAGGTCCATATACAAAGGAGTTGGGTCCCGGAGATATATCCTTGAAAGCAGCGACTTCTTTGCTCTGAAAGACCTTGTTGATCTTTCTAAAGGAGTATTTGCAGGTTAGATACTTTTGCAGGTCCTTTTTAGCCAGATTGGCATATGGTTTACATGGTTTTCCTATATTTTTATAGCCAATGATTTTATCAGAAGATAATTTTCGAGGCATATATAGTAGCGGAAATACCCTCAGTTTCATGTGTATTTATTCAAGTACATCACAACATTTCTACGTTAGAACCCTAAATCACAAAGAACCACAAGCCAAGCAGAAAAGAAATTCGTAAAAGGAATATATTTTGTATATATCTCGCCTAGGAATATCAGCTTATATGTTCTCTCTCCATTTTGCATTTAGGCTATGTTTGGCAAACTAGCTCGTAAGCTAGATGTTAGTTGAAAAGCTAGTTGTTGCTTAGGAGCATCTCCAACTGATCCTCCAAAATGGCGAATGGAGATTTTGGGCAAATTTTTTACTCCAACAGATTCTCCAAAAGGGAGAAAGTAGGAGAGAGAGAGTAAAATTCTCCAAAACTTGGACAACTTCCTAAAGATGATTACCATGAAAGAAATAATTTTTTAATTAAATTCCCACCAATAAGAAACCTTGATGTTAAATGTTTAGGGGAGAGAAATAATCTTTTAGTAACTGTATAAAATATTTTGATAATATAATTAATGTTGTAATCTCTAGAAATAGAGAATCTGTTGGAGTTGAATGTAATTCTTTTTTGGAGATTTTGAATTTTGATTCTCCTCTTGAGAAATCTTGGAGATTTTGTTGGAGATGCTCTGATAAACTAGCCATGTAAAGCTAGATGACAATATAAAATAACTTATAAGGACATGTTGAAAAATTAATTGGAACATACAAGGGGGTAATTGGATTAAAAAAAGTCTCTAGAGCTTATTTTAAACGCTACTTGAAGTAACTTTTCAAAAAGCTAGCTTATGTTTAACCAAACAGGACATTTTTCAATAAGGTCAAAAATAAGCTAGCTTATGGTTGCCAAACACGGCTTTAATTACTTGCATTTGGAAAATGTCCCCATTTTTATGGTAACGGGAGGAAAAACATCCCAAAACGTTTGGTTATTGTTTCTTGAGGAATTTTACAGCAGATTCTCTTGATGTATGCTCTTGCAGCACTGCCAGTGATGGTAGAAACTATTTCCAAGAAAATTGTGGATCATATCACTGATGAATGTTTGATATGCTACGATGTGGGCGTCCCCTGTGGTGCTCGACAAGCTTGTGATGATCCATCTTCTCTCATTTTCCCTTTTCAGGTAAACCATCTTTTCGCTATCCGTTGTTAATTAAGCATTAGATCGCTTTACAAAATCTTCAAAATGCTGTGGGTGACGTAAAAATTACAAAAAAACACCTAAACGCACCACCAAAAGAACAAGAATCCTTGGAGGTTGTGTTTGGTGCGCGGGACAAGACATGACAACAACTTGTTGTCCTACGTTTGGTGCGACGTTAAGGGGTCGTTTATCAAAACGCTTTTTGAGTAAGCAGTTACTGGTAAGAGGCACCACTCTCACTAACCTTGCCAGGTAAGATTCTTGGCCATCAAAATGGTATCGTATGCAACAATCTTACCCAGTAAGCACTTACCGATAAGTGAGGGTGAGTAAGAGTCGCCACCCTCACTTACTGAGTAAAAGGGGCCGTTTACCAAACACTTACCCGATAAGTGCTTACCGGTAAAATTTAACACTATTATTTACTTACCGGGTAAGATTTTGGTCTACCAGAACGATATCGTATGGAATAATTTACCCGGGTAGGCGCTTATTGTGGTAAGAGTTTTTGCCCTCACTTACCGGATAAGACTCTTGGTCCTTGTCTCGCTCTTACCAGGTAAGAGTTTTGGTCCTTACCATATTCATCCGGTGAGGTAGTGTAACTTGGTAAGCGTTTGATAAACGGCTCCTGTAAGACTCCTGTTACTTGCCTTGCCTCTTACCAGGTAAGATTTTTGGCCCTTGTTACCTGGTAAGGTTTTGTAAATGTCCCCCAAGACCGGGACAGGACATGACTGAGTTGGACAAAATTGCATTTTTTTTTGTCCCACTAAAATAAGCGCAATAGAAATCAGTAAGATGGGTTAAGATTGGTAAATTACTAATTACCCATGGCCAATAAAAACCTTAAAACCTTGCATAATAATATTTTGTCCGTCTACGTACCAAACGCACCCTGTGGACCATGTCAGCTAAACTGGCAAATAAAAGCTACGCCTTGTGGTTCCTCCCCATAGATATCCCGTTCAAGTCTCCTTCAGGGCCGCTGGAGATTTTCCTAGCTATTGTCTTCATGGGTCCACGGGATTAGTCGAGATGTAGCGAGCTAACCCAGACACCTACGGTTTCCCAAAAAAGAAATAACAAGAATTTCATGTTGACAAATGGGATGCAAATTCCACAGGAAGGTGAGATTGAAAGGTGTAAACCTTGTGAATTGGTTTACCACAAAGCTTGCTACAAGAAGACGGTTACTTGCCCATGTGGTGTGGATCTTGGGGAACGATCGGTTAGAACCCCGAACGTCAGCACAAATGAGGTTCCAAAAAACTTGGTGAACGATACAGAATCGAGATCTTCAATGGCGTTCCTCTCGGGGCTGTTGTCGAAGGCTACTCCTGCAAAATTCTGGAGGCCGAAGGACAACGATACGGTAATCCCAATGGGTTCCTTACCAAACTCTTCTCTTTGATTTGTTTGTATTTATGGAACTCAATTTTGTTTACTTTCATATTCACAAAAAGATTTATTTGGAATCTTTGATACTACCCCTTAATTCTTTGTAAGCATTTGGTGGAAAAATGAGTGAAAAATCCTTCCTTCCCCACATTTTTCAGCTTACTGCCATTGATATTTGAGTGTCAGTAGGCATGGTAATGGGGCAGGGACCCCAATCCTCGCCCCCGCCCCCATTCCCATCGGGGAATTTGATCACATCCTCGTCCCCAACGGGGAAACAAGGATTTTTTTTCCGTTTGTATGAGTATTTCTTAAATCAAATGTGTGGGACATTAGTCTCACGTATTTCTAGTAAACCTAAAGTAAAAGGAATTTAATTTAATATAAGAATATACATCAGAATTAAATAATATATAATATAATTTATTAATTAATATATGTACGGATAAGGGGCGGGGAGTGTTATACCCGTCCCCATCCCCAGTTTGAGCCAAACGGGGATCCCCGTCTCCTAGACCCGGTTTAACGGGGAATCCTCGTCCCCGACCGGGGCCGGTGAACTAGGTTCCGCGGCGGGTCGAAGTGACTTTCTATGCCTACATTTTAGTAATTAGTCTTGCTTCTTCTTTTGAAAAATGGTGGTTTCAATCCCTCCAAAAACAAATATGAGTAAATTATGATTTTTTGTCCATGTGGTTTGTTAATAATTTCAATTTTCGTCTTTGTGGTTTGTTAATTACTCTATAATTTATCGTTATTTTTGTCTCTTAGGGTACTTCCTACATTTTGAGTATAAGGGTCCAAAATAATATAGAATTGTAAATCATAGGGACTAGATTTGTAAATTATGAGAACAAGAATAACAATGAATTACAAACTGTGAGAATGAAAACCGTAATTTTTAAACGCCAGGGACGATAACTGCAGTTTTTAAGAAACTACAGGGATGAAAAACGTAATTTACTCAAAAGAAATTTAATGCTGTTGGCAAGCTTTGAGAAATTCTCAGGTCAAAGCTTTTTTTCACACATCTTTTTTTGTATGTTGGTCGTTTTACTTTTTAAGATGTACCAAAACTTTGAGATAATGGATGCAAACTAAAAAAAGCTTTATAATTACTTGTTAATGGAGTTGAATTTATTAAGTTCTGCGGAGTTGGTGTCTGATTATGCCTAAGTGTTGCATATATGTTTCCTCGAGCCATTTTTTCTAAACGAACCAAGGCTAATCCAAATTTCCATCCTATTCAAACCATACCTTCGAGGAGCTGTTTCGTTCACGGAATGTTTTATGAATAAATGGAATTTGTAAAAAGGAATTCGGATGGCAAGTGTTTGATTGGCATGAAATAGATTGTAATTTGTCAAATGGATTGAAATTTGTCTTATTAGTTTATAGAATGTAGCTTATAAGTTGGAAAAAAAGAAATTAAAAAAAAATTAAAACGCTTTTGTTTTAAAGTGTGGGATGAAACGGAATTCAAATTTTCATTGTGCAGGAATGACCAAATCCATGAATGGTGGAACGTATAGAATTCAATTTCATTCCATATATAAACCAAATGTTGGAATGGGATTTGGTAACATGGAATTGACCATTTCAATTTCTTTATATCTGGTACCGTCTACGTACCGAACTATGCCCAATGCCATGACCATTCTAGCCATACTTTTGGTCAATAAAACCGAATACCTGAATCAGACATAACTAAAACCAGCTTGATCTCTAACGTGGTTTAGACCCAATGAACGGTCCTAGTCTGGGGTGATAAAATCACTTCGATTTCTACTTGTTCACGCCTCATAGACATCTTGGTCCGTCATAACAAGAAGACTTACCGAATAAAACACTATTTTCCAGATTTCACAACTTAGGAAGAACACTATTTAGTTCAAAAATCTATACATTTTTACTCTACATTCTTAATTTAACATGTACTAAATAGCCAAGCCAATATTTACTACTTTGGAATTGGATTTGAGATGAACTTCTGCAAGAATTTAGGTACAGTGGAACAGTACAGGGGTTATACTTGAAATCAAATGTTATCAGTCGCATCCCCAAACGTTGAAAGAGAAAAGGGCGCAACAGCCACGTTAAATGTCTTTGATCCTACTTTATCGATATGCTTCATTTCAAAGTCACCTTCCTGCAAATACGATCCGTAGATAATTAACATCATCGGACATTCTACAAATTATCTATTGCTTGGAATTAGGGATGGCAAAGAAAACCGAAAACCGAAACTTTCAGGTCAGTTCAGGGACATCTTATCGGGAATGGGGCAGGGATCGGGGATTTTAACCCGGGGGGGGGGGTGGTCACCAGCCTGGCCCGGTATGTGTATATATATTAATTTTAATCTACATACGTGTATATATATATATATAAATATATATATATATATATATATAATATCATTAAAAGAAAATAGTAACATTGAAATTTAAAAGACTTTTATCCACTTTACCTCAACACCCCAAATAAGGCTCACGAAAAAGTCTAAAGTCTAGTTGTCTAATCGTGAGATCGTGATGTTTTACTTTTATATGTAATCTAAGACATTGTTTGTAATTGGTTTGACTATGTTTGAGACATTTAGCCTTACATCTTTGAAAAAATTGTAATTTACTTCTAATTGTGAAAATTAATATATTGTAATTTTTTTCAGATCGGTTCTGGTTTCAGGTTTGGGTATAACCAACGGTGAACGGGAAAAAGAGGATTTTTACCCTCAATGGGTTCCCCAACAGGGATCGGGGAAACTGTGGGGACCCAACAAAGATCCCCGACGGGGATCGGGGCGGTTATGGGGACAATTTCAATTATCGGTTTCAAAGACTGGGGATACCAATAACCAGCCTGAACCCAGCCTGTTGTCATTCCTACTTGGAATTCTTATTGCAAAAGGACCAGATCATGACGTCATAAGACCAAGCAGTCGGGTAGAGGAATTATATGCATACATCCTACCCCCATCCCCACCCTACCCTACCCCTTGTGGGAATTTATTGGGTTTTTTTTATATAGATGGTCCTAGTCCTATAATATGGACCCGGCACAGCACATGATACAACTTCAGGAAACTTCTAAATTTTCTAGCAACTAAGATGCAAATACCCAACCACAAGGGTTGTGGCGGGGTGGTTGAGGTACTGTGGGGGATGTGGGGGAATATCTCACCAGCACAGGGTTCGATTCTAGGCGTACACAACAATTGTGGCCACTAAGTTTATCAGGGCTGATTTCTTGTAGTCACAATTTGTCGGGATTAATCCCGGCATAGCTTGGGACACCCTTCAAAAAAAAGATGAAAATACCCATTGTCCCTTGAGTTAAATATTTTTTGGTCTCCTAGAAGTAATTTGAGAACTTCTGTGGACAATCTTGTACATGATCAAAAATAAATCAAACAAATGATTCACCTTATTTCTAAAAGTGGAAGGTAATTTGAAACATCAAATTAATCTTAATGCTAAAAAAATTCTGGAACATAACTCTTCCATTTTTTTCAGAGACGAAAACAATAAAGGATTTTTTCTTTTGGGGGGTGTTAAAATGTATGGTATATTATCAGCAAAAGATAAACAGGAAGGAAACTTGAATAAATGCTAATGGAAGAAATGAAGGATGCAAATATGTATACTCACCATTCTACCACTAGGAGTGGTTAACGGGCATGCTGATGAATATTCGAAACTATTGTTAGGAAGTATAACTGGTTGTTCACCAATAACTCCAATGCCCCTACAGAAAGGAGAATGTGTTATGATTTGCATAGCAAAAAACGCTTCAGCAAAATAGAAACTTGATCAATGGAATTACATGTCAGAAGAGAAGGATCATACCAAACATCCTCTGATTTCTCATTAGCATTGGTAATTATCCAGTGCCTCTTAAGAAGCTGAACAGGGCGGTTTGAGTTATTAGTAATTCTTATTCGGTAGGCAAAGAAGTATTGGCCTCTTAAAGGTTGGCTGCGCCCTTCAATGTACACACTCCTAACTTGAACCCTGATCCCCTGAAATATTAATACAATTTTCGTTAATTCATCAACTGGTTGCAACTTCTAAGATCTCCAATAACTAAGAAACAAACATAGCTCCAGTTGATCAGGAAATGAGAATGCAATAGTAGTAAGCAAAAGCAAGGCTCCAATCATTGTAGCTATCTGGTGTCTTCTGAAAATTAGCACATTATACTGCATATTTAGAAAATTTAAGACCTTTATTGCAGTTCTTCACATCATTACCACATTATAATGTCATCATTAACCTGGATCATAGGTTCATAACTATTTTGAAATGAAACTTCCCTTCGGTTCCGTCCCCTTTATCAAAAAAAAGCTCATAACCATGTGCGGTCATTTTGCTTTTAACTAAAAATCCACACTCTCAAAGACTACACAGGTTGAATATACATGCAAGCAAGGTCAAATAGGGTGATAAGGAAGGTCTATTTAACATTCTAAAGCAAAATTTCTAAATACATACACCACTCGTAACCACAATAGGACACAAGGTCACTAGCACTAGTCGCCCATACATAACTTGAATTGGAACTATAGATATTAAACCCTCTTTGTTTGATTATCTTAATATATATATATATATATAGTATATGAAAATATCAATAATCAAAAAGACTACAAAAGATTCTATTTAATGGAACAACAAACAACCTGTTGTCATGTGTACACATATCATGTCATACCATGCACACATAAAAAGGCACAACCTATCAAATTTTGAAAATGAAAAGCCAGAATTTGTTAATGGAATTCACTGTCTAACTGGCATCAAATAACTAAAGCAAGGATAACGACAAGCAAAATCCATGTTCTGTTATAGTAGTCTCCATATATTAATCCGTTTCCAATAGATGGCAATTGGTTAGAGTTTAAAGACACAATAGAGAAGAGATAAATTAACGAACACTGCCACCTAGAAAGAGAGGAAGGAAAACAACCTAAAAGATTAGAGCAAAAAAGGATAGGGAAATAGTTATCGTACCAAGGTTGTTGCATCACTTGAACACTTCAGTAGATAATGAGGAGCAATTTCATTTATCTGATCACGATATCTTGCTGCATCCTAAAAGAGCATAAAAGGAGAAAACAAATAATAAAAAAAACAAGCATAAACATTATAATTTTCAACTAGGTTTAAAACACAAAATGAGCACATAATCCTCGATGCTGAAACATGTAATGCAATTTACTGAATAGAAAAACAAGGACTCAAGAAATGACTCAAATACAGGGCATACTACTAAAATGTGGACGACTTCCATTTGATATACATATATGAATATACACACTCACACACACAGAACATCACCTTCTAAAGCTTATTAAAGAGCCAATAGCATATAGGTATTGGCCATGTTAGTAGAGCATTCCCTGAGTGAGGTGGCCGAAAAGGAAAATACTTGAGAGTTTATGCTTATCCATGCTTTCAATGAACCCCGACATTAGGACAAATATAATTTTAGAAATGGGTGTCAGACCTAATAAAGACGTTCATTCAAGTAGAACCCCATGGTCAAAAACTCAAAATAATTAAACGATTGAAGAACTGGACACATACACAACCAAAGCTTGTTGATGATAAATTAACAGAGTAGAGCAACAAAATTGACTTGGTAACACATACCCGCAATGGCAGATTGAGAAATTGTATATTGAAGTACTTTCAAGAACTTTCCAAGTAATAGTATGAACCCAAATTCCCAATTTTCAAGAAGATCATATTTGAATAGTTAGACTCCATGATACTGGACATGCTTGTTTTGTGAAAAAACAACCGGTAAATTGGGCAAAATAATACCTTAAACCTCTCGTCTGCAATGGCCTCCCTCATCAAGCCGCGAAGACGTAAAACAGGTTCCTCCTCTTCGAATGATTTCAAAGAATCACGAAGCCTAGCAGCTTCTTTGTAATTCTACAAATGCATAGCTTTAATATTATCAGATATTCTTAGAGCAAACAATCCCAGCCGTCTCAGTAACCCCAAAACCCAAATCTATTGAGCGAAAACACATTGTCCATCACTCTTCAATCAAAATCAAACTCTAATAATCAATTAACGGAAGAATCAATCATAATTTTGCAGTAATCGAAATGATAATTCCATAACCCCAAAAACAACTGATTGTAGAAAAACCACATGATACATAATTCAAAATAAATAATTCTCAACTAAAAACCTAACCTCAGACTTGGCGGCAAGTTCCATTTGTTGTCTCATCAACGCATAAGTTTGACTCCGTGCAAAAAACGAACTCCCATTCTGCTGACTTTGGCTCTCCGCTCCACCAGCTTCGGCTCCGGCACCAGCACCGCCATCTCTCTCCGAAGCACGCGCAATTATCCTACAATTCCTCCTCCCCTGATCTCTACAATTGAACCTAACCGGAAAATCTCCAACACCAAAACTGACACGACCTGGCGCCGTATACCTCGATTCAACATCATTACAATCCACAAACAACTTTAAGCTCATGGAATGCATATTTTCTCCGAAAATTACTGCGATTTTTGCAGATTATTGGATAAATTTTGTGATGAAAAGATAGGGATCCGCGACGACGATCGGATAATCAGATGAAATTGGAATATGAAGCCGAGAGTGGGCGATATATGGCGAGGACGTGGTGGAAGATCTGATAGTAGTATTATTCATTGGATAATAGATTTTTGGCCAAAATCAGTCCCAAATCTTGCCATCCATTCGCTCATTCGGTATCTTTTTAGATTTATTTATAAGGTTATCCGGATACATAAATGTTTAAAATTTTACATCTTAGATATCAAGTTGGAAGTTTTGAAAGTATGTTACTCAAAATAAAAATCAAGTTAAAGTATGTTACTTTCTCATGTAATTTGTCTTTTGTGTTATTCTACATTAATTAAGATCATGATAGATATTGATATCCATTGTGATATCCACAATTTATATGTTTATATACACTAAGGGGACGTTTACCTAATCACTTACCCGGTAAGCACTTACCCGTGAAATTCAACACTATTGTTTACTTATCGGGTAAGATTTTAGTTCACGAAAACAACATCGTATGCAACAATTTACCCGGTAAACACTAACCGTGGTAAGAGCTGTCACTCTCACTTACCGGGTAAGACTTTCGGTCCTTGTTCCGCTCTTATCGGGTAAGATTCTTGGTCCTTACCATATTCATCTGGTAAGGTAACGTAACTTGGTAAGTGCTTACCCGAGTAAGCGTTCGGTAAACGGCCCCTAAGATACGTAATGTAATAACTGTAAACAACAAAAACATATAATGTGATACAAAGAAAACAACGAAAATACAGTTTGTAGTACTGCGTCAAAAACTCAAGGATAACGCATTGTGGAAATTTATGAATTTCCAATTTATACAGAGAATAAATTAATCAAACGCATTTATGAGTTGTCCTGATTGTTACTAGATTATTATTTTCTATTTATTTGGTAAATAACATAATTATCTTAAATGAGTGTCACACATTAGATCTCACGGTTATTACAAACTAGATTAGGCCTCCTCTTCAACCAGTATATCATAACTTCTCTCTGTTTTTTTTCAAATTTGAAGGTTTCTCCATTTTCTCATTTTTTTAAAGAAGAGTTCAGCATAACTATTGGAGCAAAATTTTCTCAAAACTTCAAAATTTCTAAAATAACGTATTTGTTGGAGATGCTCTTGATGCATATTTTGAGGGCGAAAGTATAAAAATGAAAGGGTGGAGTTTTTTAGGGCCTATGAACGGTGATTTGCCCCGACCCGGTGGGGAACCCGGCTCACCCTACCTGAATGAGGACGGGAATTCCCCGTTAAAACAGGTCCCAAGGCCGAGGCCAGGGATCCCCAGTAGACTGAAACTGGGGGGGGGGGGGGGGGGGCTATTACTCAACCGGGGTTGGGGCCGGGATTCCACTAGACTCAAACTAACAGATATTCTTCATGGAGTTTGACCGGGTTCTTGACAGATAGATAAACATTTAATAATATATAATAGAATAAGCATTTAATAAGATCCAATCCGCTATGCGAGCCGACTAATTCCATAACAACCACCCGCTTTACACGTATCCCGGAGTCACCGCATTTGAATCTCCGTGTTATTTTTCATTGGATTCGAATCTGAGACCTCTAGGCATTTTTCACCTTTGGAGTCCAAGTTCAAACCAATTGAACACCACCCTTTTGGTTAAAAATGTAAAATTAGATAACATACTATAAATAAGTATTTTATGCATACAATTTTTTTTTTAAAGGAATCAGATAAAAAATATTATAAAAATATATTTTTAGCATAAAACATTATAAACAATTAAATATGAAAAAAAAAATAATGCATAACAATTATTAAACTGAATTATATAAAAATCACATAACAATAAATGTCTTATTTGATTAAGAAAAACAAACTAAAATTATAAAATTATCAACAATGATACATCGAAAGTAATTTTGTACTAGAAAACTTATATGATTAATTGTTTTTAACAAATTTTTAAAGCTTATTGAATAAGACATTTTTTATATCATTAAGTCATTATCAATAATCATGTATAACTGATCGAATAAAATGTGAATCAGCTTAAACTTCTTAAACTGTTAACAAACAGATTTCTAATGTGAGGTTAAAACCCAACAAAAACTAAAAACCAAATTAAAAAAATGATACTCGGTTGATATCCCAAGAATATCCCTAATTAAAAACACCCTTTGACAAATCAAAAACAAGAGTAAATTACACTTTCGTCCCTGTGGTTTGTTAAATATTGTTATTTATGTTCTGTATGGTTTTGAAGGTACTATATTCGTCCATATAGTTTGTAATTTCTTTATGTTTTCATTTCTCTAACTGATTTTATTAAAAAAAGATCTATTAAATAAGGGGCATTGTGGTCTTTTATGTTTTATGTATTTTATTTATTTTTATCCTATTTTATATGATAAAAATAATAATATATATATATATATAAAATAAAAAATAAAACGTCGTATTGGATTACTTTACGCGACAATATTTAAAGAATTGTCATATAAACACAAGTGTCCTACTAAAAAATAGGTTTATAGGACATATTTCAAAAGCGTCATATTAAATAACCAATATGACACTTTATTTTAGAAACATCATAAAAAAAACTTGTTAAAATGTCTAAAAGTGTCGTATAAACTTATTATAACACTTTAGATATTGACGTTTTATGGTTGGTCCTATAAACCTAAATTACGTAAAATATCTAATGTTCTATAAAACCAAATTTGTTGTAGTGATAACTCTTACCTCACACGATCCATCGTGTGTGTGTGTGTGTGTGTATATATATATATATATATATAAAGAGAGAGAGAGAGAGATAATCAAATGAGAATCTCATATATTGTAATAACTATAAGTATTGTTTCACATTATCTTTTTTATTGTAAGGCTAGTTTTTAATATATTAACTAACATATTTGTTTCAAAATGTGTTTTTTTCCATATGTATTCAGTGTATAATGTGAAACTTTTTAGTTATATTTTTTTGTTTCACAAACACAAAAAATATTCACAGTATGAAACAAATGCATGTTAATAAATATACCAAATCCAAGCAACAGCTGGAAAAAAAATCATGTAATATAACATATGATGCACTAGTTATCAAGATTATCACAATTTTATGGGTTCTCAAATGAACATCTCTATATATAAATATAAAGGGGTAAAAGCAGAGTGCTTTGAAATCAAAACCGAACTGAAAAATAAGGTGTTTTGTGCAAAGCTTGAATGCCCTGAAATCCAAAAATCTAAAACCCGACTTTTGATAGGATATTTGTCGAGTTGACTTTAAACTTACTATCGATTGAATATATTTTTTGCATTATAATTATACCAGAACCCGACCGACCTTAACCCGAAACTCGAAGCAATCCGAATCTTGAAACCCAAATTTAAGGCTTCGTTTGCATATCCGAAATCTGATTGAATTTTTGGTTTTCCCACCCGAGTCTGCCTAATCGGCTGATGCACACCCCTACCTGTAATTTTTTAAGTGGATGAATTATAATTGGTTTAAAAGAAGAAAAAAACCTAGAAGACAAAAATACCATCCTATTTAACGGACTTTCGTTAATAGTATTACCCCAAGGATGAAAACAGCAATTAATTACAATATACAGGGACTAAAATCGTAATTTAAAAAGTATAAGGACAAAAATAACAATTTTCAGAAAACCATGGGGACTTAAATAGTAGTTTACTAAAACAAAATTACACTTCAAAAAGCGAACCCCTCCTCCTCCCCCTCCCATATCTCCCTCCACTGTATCGGCGGAGCCTCCAACGCTTCCCACCAACCCCCGCTCACACATCTGAGATCTCGAAAATGCAGAGCAGTTCGTTCAATCTCACAAATTCGATTTCAAATCTCAAGCCTCGTAATCATAGATTGAATTCTAGCTACCTTCCTTTACCTTTGAAATCATCGATCAATCTTCACTCCATCAATGGTGTATCTGCTCGTAGATTGCCTTCAATTTGCTGCTCGTCTTCATCTAGGAAGTTAAGCGATTGGATTTCAACTCCTTCGCCGGTTCCGGAGCGTGAATCAGATGGTTTCGAGGTTAAAGCGGCGTCGGTTCCAGACAGTGCCGACGGCGGCGATGAGGCGGCTTTGGCAAAGTCAAAGTTGACGGAAACGATAGTGCTTGGATCGTTGTTTGGGCTTTGGTACCTGTTTAATATCTATTTCAACATCTATAACAAGCAGGTTTGTTCATCATCTTTCTATTTGGAAGTCTGTCGTATGTTTTACTCCAATACTTCATATTCCTTAGGTGACAGGGTACTGTGGTTTGGATTACACATGGTGTATCAAACGAGAGGTTTGGTATTCAACAGATGCATGCATTATACTTTAATATGTTGATGTACACGTTAGATGAATTATGTTTTCTTTCTTCACAGGCTGGTTTTTCTATATGTGTGTTAGAATAATATGTACAGTTGTCTTGAATTTCACTGTTGGAGCTGTAGTAACTACGTAGAACCTGTACATGTGTGTATTGATGACTTGCAAGATCCATCCCTGGGAAAACTTGGTCCAGTTGGCTCAATTTGGCAATTTAAAATTGCTAATGTGTAACCGTAGAATTTATGATATTTAACATCGTTCATTTGATTTTTGATTATTTGTCATCATTCAATTGACTTTAAATTAACTTATTACATTTTTATTGATGAAATTCGAGGCAGAGTAGGATATGGGTGCAAGTTTGTACTCCATTTCTAGGTGTAAGATATGACCAAATGAAGCCACAACTTGCATGAAAGAAAAAGCTTAATTTAGTTTTGGTTCATCCTTTTCAATCTTTAGTTGGCAAAATACTCGTTAGTCTTGCAGAAATTTTCTAATTGAAAAGTAATCGCATTTTCTGGTGATCAATGCTGCAGGTTCTGAAAGTCTTCCCGAACCCCATAACTGTCACTACAGTTCAGTTTGCTGTTGGGAGTGTCATTGTATTTTTGATGTGGACATTAAATCTTCACAAACGACCTAAAATTAGTGGCGCACAGGTACATTGCTGTTATGGAGGAATGGATTCTCCCCTTAATATTTTCTTTTTTGATACTAATTACTTGCTAACGTGCAGCTTCTAGCAATCCTGCCATTGGCTATGGTGCACACCTTAGGCAATCTTTTCACGAATATGAGTCTTGGAAAAGTTGCTGTTTCATTTACTCACACAATCAAAGCTATGGAGCCATTTTTCTCAGTTGTGCTGTCGGCTATGTTCCTAGGAGAGGTATGTTTTCTATCTACTTCATTGGGTTCTGGTCTTTTTTGCTCATTGTTCTACATGCAGAATGCTGTTTTTTCATTTAAAAGGTTGTTTATAATACGCATTATTATCCCCTATCGGTAATGAATCCTAATCATCCTACTCCACAGATGCCGACACCATGGGTGGTTACTTCCCTTTTGCCGATTGCTGGTGGAGTGGCCCTTGCGTCAATGACTGAGGCCTCATTCAATTGGTGGGGACAGCTAATATATTTGATACTTTTTGCCATTCTCATTATCGTTTCTTTTAATTCATAATTTATCACTTGGGGTAGGAACAATAGTATTTTTTTTGTTGGTTTTAGTTTTACCTTTGAACCAAACAAATTCACGAAAATAACCTCTCTAAACCTTGGGATAGAGGTAAGGTGTGCGTACATCATACCCTCCCTAGATCCTACCTTTATGTGGGATCTATTGGGTCTGTTCAGTTTGGTTTTTGAACCAAAGAAATGGAGGAAAAAACTTGCTTGTTTTTAACTGTTTAGTAATATGTGTTTATTAGTGAAAATGAATCAGCAATCGTGGATTTTATGCATTATCTCTATGATCTGATCATTGCATATGGTAAACAGGGCCGGGTTTTGGAGTGCAATGGCATCCAATTTGTCGAATCAATCGCGTAATGTCCTTAGCAAAAAATTTATGGTTAAGAAAGAGGTACCTTTTTGGCCAACAATTTTTTATTTTGTCCAGTATTAGACTTCTTGATGGGGTGAAATTGCTTGCATGTGTTTATTTTCTATGAAGTCAGTGCTCAGACAGCAATCTTTTTATCTTTAACAGGAATCATTGGACAATATTACTCTCTTCTCGATCATAACAATTATGTCATTTTTCTTGTTGGCCCCTGTTACTTTCTTCACTGAAGGAGTGAGGGTTACCCCTGCATACATGCAGGCTGCTGTAAGTATTTGTCAAAATTAGATATTGCTGTAATTTGTTGTTTTCTAGCTTATGTTTATACCAACAATTATTTTTTGGTGATTGATTTTCCCTTGTTCTTTTCAGGGATTGAACGTCAAACAAGTGTATATTAGGTCTCTTCTTGCTGCAATCTGCTTCCATGCTTATCAGCAGGTAATCATCTTATCTCTTGTGTCATTACATGATAACTAGGATTCCTTTTGTCCCAAAGGGAGTCTATTTTGCAACTTTAGAGGAACTTAAAAGACAACTTTTGAATAATTATACCCTCCATTAAGTAGGAATTAAGAGCACTCTTTATCGTAGCTTTCAAGGAAAAGAAAGGGTAATTGAGGAACACTAGCTTTGCGTTGAGGTTAAGGGGTTCTTTACGAACATTAACCTGGTAAGCACTTACCGGGTGAGAGTCGTCACCCCTCACTTACCTTACCAGGTGAGCATGGTAACGACCGATGATCTTACCCGATAAGTGAGGGTGGTTACTCTTACCCGGTGAGAGACACCTACCAACAATCTTACTATGCCATTTTGAGAATCTTACCTGGTATGGTAAGTGAGAGTGATGACTCTTACCTGGTACTGTTGGTAAACTGTAAATCGCCTCTAAATTATGAAATACAACTCTTCTCTTTGGGGTGAAAAGAAGTTTATAAATCGAACTATCTTTTAGGGGTAGCAAGGAGCATTGGATTTCAAGTGCTCTTACCCCCAAAATCATTGCAAATTTTTATTATTTTCATGTGTCTAAAATTAATTGCAATAGTTTATTGTTCATATTTTTAGCAGAACTTATTTATTTACCCATGGTATGCCTTGCAAAATATGAATAATATTCATGTTGGTCCTTTTATCATGTCATTATATGAAGGTATATAAGGCAGCTTATTCTAAATTCTTGTATCTGGTCATCTTTAGATGCTAACAAAATGTCGAGTTTAGCCTTTGAAACTTCGTTCACTTGTCTTTGGTCTCGGCTGAGTACAGAAGCCATCAATGCTGACATGTATCCGTCATGCAGGTTTCCTATATGATATTGCAAAGGGTGTCTCCAGTTACACACTCCGTTGGCAACTGCGTGAAACGTGTGGTGGTGATCGTGACCTCGGTTCTTTTCTTCCGCACACCTGTCTCACCTATCAACTCCATTGGTAAATTTCCGTCTTGGATTTTCACAAGATATTTTCTTTTCTCATACATCTTCAACAGTTCGTCCATGTTTTTTCCAAAATAGAGAACAAAAGTCATAATCTCCAAAAAGAAAAATACATTCAACTTCTCAGTTACATAGATTCTAACATTATTTACGTTATTAAAAGAGAGTCCCCTAGTTTTACAAACCCAATAATTCATACAAACTTACAAACCAGTTTTCATGAACACTTGTGAAAATGTTGTGCTTTTATAATGTTGTCTCATATGTGAAACGTTCTGGACATATTTTTCCACATACAGAACAGTCTTTAACGTTCTACATATGAAACAACACTATATAAGCATTGGATTTTCATATGTTGGAAACCGGTTTGTAAGTTTGTACTATTTATGGTGTTTTTGAATTAAAATATTTAATAATATAAAAATGTCATTCTCTTTATCAATTTCTTTTGGCAAGTTGGGGAGCTTTTTTGGAACAATGAAAAAATCATCGTCTCTCTTATTCCGTTCAATTTTGGAGGTTTTTTAAAATTTGTAGAATTTTTTTCTGGCTTTACTTCCTCTGTTTTTGACAATCCACCGGAGAAAAAAGAGCGTAAAAACTCCAAAATCTCTTTCTTTTCGTATAATCGTAATCTCAACTTTCAGGTACCGGAGTGGCCCTTGCCGGAGTATTTCTATACTCGCAGGTGAAGCGCATGAAGCCAAAGACCGCTTGAAATCGTTCCAAATTCCGTGCTTATATCAAGATTTTGGGTGATAGTTTTTGTGCATTTTAGATGACAATTCTATTCTGTTCTTCCATTGGGTTTTTGTGACTTCAATTCTATCTATATTAAATCTGCAGACTGCCTTGTTCTCTCTTACATTATTGGTTTCAAGTTCAAATTTCCTGCAGATATCACTTTCAAAGCACAATGTACAATGTTTTATTGCTTTCAAAACCCTCAAATCTTTATTCTTGTTGGATACCCAAAATTATTTAAAGATTAACCTGTGAAATCATCTCCATCAAATCCACCTCCTTCTTCACTTCACCCTGCAAACCACTCGAAGACGATGCCGACGCCATCAAATACGAATCCACCTCTTCACCACCTCCGTTAATAGAAGGTACGTCATCAAGCAGTGATTCAATATTGTTGTCCCATTCTAGTAACTTCTCATCCATTGCGAATTCTGGGACCTCGTTGTAATCGAAATCCTCTTGATTTTCAGCTGACGATGATGGTTTAACGGTGGTCAAAGCGTGGTTCTGATTGCTGCGATTCGAATTCATTCTTCCTCTTGGTAAGTTCAAGCTTTTGATGTAGTTTTGTAGAATTGGGCTTGGTCTTGGCCATTTTGATCGGCATTTTCGCCTTGTGTATTGTCTCCTTTTTGTTGCGTTCCAATGGTTTTTGGTCGAGTTTTCGGTTCTTCCCGGGAGTTTCTTTGCAATTTCCGACCATTTGTTTCCCACCTCCGCATGTGCTGCGATCAGTATCCTATCTTCTTCCTCCGTCCAGAAATCCTTCTGCAAATCATTTTCAGATTTATCGAGCGTGCAGAACAAATGGTCAGATGAGTCTATACCTGAGCGTGTGTATGTGTGAAATATGTTGTCACACCCTATAAGATAACTCTTCAAAAGAGTCCTTGAGGAGAGAGAATGGAAGTTCTAACATATATTGAGGAGAAAGGGTTCAAGTCTAGTTGATATATGAGACTAAGGGGTTGTTTACCCAACGCTTACCCGGTAAGCGATTATCGGTAAGTGTCAACATTTTCACTCAACTTACTGCGTAAGATTTTAGTCCATTAAAACGGCATCGTATGGAACATTTTTATCCGGTAAGCGTTTATCAGGTAAGAGTCGTTACTCTCACTTACTAGGTTAAACTCTGTGTTCTTGTTATCGCTCTTACCGAGTAAGATTCTAAATCCTTGTCATGTTCATTCGATACGGTAGACTGACCCGGTAAGCACCTATCGTGTAAGCATTTAGTAAACGACCCCTAACATGCAGCCATATATGTGTGAGAGAGAGAATATAAAACACACCTTGATGTCAGGTCTAAGATGATTGTGCCATCTCTCCCTGCACTGCTTCCCGATCCTCCCTTTCAGCATCTGAGCGATGTATGACCATTTTCTGACACCATATTTCTCAACCATCTCTTTTAAAATCCTGCACGTTTGGTCATGCATCTTTGCATAAAACTTTTAGAAAGAAACTTGTTTTTACCAAAACTTCTGTTTCTCTTAAAATAGTCCATAGAAATCTTGAATTTTGATTTTTCTTTTGGGTACTTTAGTCAAGAATTGTGTGGTTTCTATGTCTCTTTTAACAATATCATAATAGTTTTAACATATTTTTATAATGATATAAAGGGGCATGAAAACCACATCCAAAAAAATGAACAGAATTACTTTGTTTTGGTAACCATGGGTTTTTGGGTCTGGTTACGTGCAACGACTAATCCCTTGAACGGGTGAACCTCCATGGCCACAAGGGCTTTGTCAAGGCATGTATTCGAACTGGGGGAAGATGAGATTTCCACAACATCTATCTCCCAAGTGGGTACAACTGGTTAACGTTCATGAACGGGGATTTGAATTCAAGATTTCTAAATTTATCTTTAAAAACTTTGAACTGTTTAAATAACTTACAGTTAGATGGTCAGAAAATGATCCTTTTTTACAGAAGTAAAAAATGAATGTATTACCTGTCTTCCTCTCTAGTCCATTGTCCTTTGGACGAATTCGTCTTCTTTTTACCTTTGCACCACTTTCTATTACCTTTCTTGATTCCGTTATCTGCAGTGACACACGATCCTTCATCCGGCACAAAGAAACTCATCAGTTTCGCATCTTGGATTGGGCATTCCACGATCCCCAAACGGGTTGAAAAATCCGATCCACCCCAACTCATGTAACTTTTGTACTGGTGGTTTAAACTCACCACCATTCCACCACCATCATTCACATGCTCAAGAGGCTTAAACTCATATAAGTCAACATCATTTGAACCAACACCAAATGGCAATGGACCAAATGGGTCATAACCCGTAACATGGTTTGTATAATCGGGCTCAAAAGACGAACCCACTAGAGAAATATTGTCGAGTTGGTGTAAGTCTTGAAAAACTCCTTTCGTCTCCATTGGAAAATCATCTTCGAATTCGAACTCGTGTTGAGATTTCGGTTCCGATTCGGGGTTCAAGTGATTCTTGGAGAGAAGATCCATTGTAGAGATTTAAGCATTGAGGAATTGTGAAGAACACAAAGCGTAGAGAGAGTGATGGAGTCTTCTTTCTTCCCCTTAAATTCCAATTTATTAGTTTTTCTTGGCATTTAATTGGTGAAGAATTAATATGCAAGAATCATTAAATGATGTTTTCGTTGATCCAATGGCTAAGATTAGTTTATGACCAAAATTTAAATTGGTCAAAACACACAATTAAACCTTTTTCTTTAAAACCACATAAAAAACCTGTTGGTCAAAATTATTCTCTTAAAAGTTTATAATTAACAGACATGTTAAAAAAATTAGTATAAAATCATTGAATCAAATAATTTCACCCCCTTTGGTAGATCTTATGGTTACGCTACTGATCCAAAAATTAGAACTTTTTTCTACTGATGCATTTCAAGAGCATCTTTTAAGTAATGGGTTGTTTACCGAATACTTACCCGATAAGCGTTTATTAGTAAAATCCAACACTATCAGTTACTTACCGGATAAAATTTTAGTCCATCAAAAAGTAATCGTATACAACAATTTGCCCTGTAAGCGCTTATCGTGGTAAGAGTCGTCGCTCTTATTTACCCGGCAAGACTCTTGGTCCTTGTCTCGCTCTTACTGGGTAACATTATTGGTCCTTACCATATTCATCTGGTAAGCTAATGTGACTTGGTAAGTGCTTACCCGGGTAAGCGTTGATAAACGACCCCTAAGTGTTGTTTGTTTATCTCTTAATGGTTTCATTAAGAGGCATCATCTGAATCGTTAAAAAGTGAATCTTGTTTCGGAAAAAAAAAATCTGCCTCTTAATCTTGGGCCTCTGTTAACCATTCAGCGCCCTAATTTCATCGTAAACAATTATTGAACAATTATATTTCATTTTGCACTATATTATGAGAATCTCTTAACCATTCTGCATCATTTAATCATTCTATACCAAACCATTTAACAACTACCAAACAACCATATTTTTTTTAAAAACGGCGTATTCAAAGTCAAAATCTCTAAAAAAATTACATTCGGTTTTAACAACCATTTAACTTTAGTAATCCGAACATTAATTATATTATTAAAATATTCGATACATTTAATAAAATAATATTTCTCTCTTCGAAAAAGTATTAAAATAATAATTTCTATCTTTATTTAGAAATTTCTCTAAATTTATAGATTTTCATTATCTATCTCCTCTTTTCTCTATTTTAACATAAAAGTTAACATAATTGTCTGAGAAAAAGAAATCGTTAAAATTCTTATTTTCTTCATTTTAACATAGCTATTGAAGATGGATAAAATAAAACGTGTATTTTGACTTCATAAAGTAACTTTTCGATTTTGAGTTCGAATCTTTTTAAAGATATAAATATGCAAATTGATTTGCTTAATAGAACTTAAACAAGTGTAGCTGAATTCAGTAGCAGCTCTTATCGAGTATACGTGTTTGTTAAAATGTCATTATAATTCCACTCTGTTTTTTGGTTTACAATATTTTGTTTGTTAGCAGCTTAATGAGATTTATAGCTTTTTTTTTATTAACTTGGATGTTTAACCCACTATACGAGCTGATTAATCTCAGGACGACCACCTGTTTTGCGGGTAGTTCGGAGTCACTGCACTTGAACCTTCGTGGCCACAAGGGGATTTTTATTTCTCCTTGGATTTGAACCTGAGACTTCCAGACACTTTTGACCTTTGGAGTCCAAGCTCAAACCAATTAGGCACCACTTTTGTGGTTGACTTATAGCTTATTCTGTCAGCTATACATGAGAATTTGGTATTGACTTGATGATATAGAAAGTGATTTATTCAGTAAGTTTCTGGGGGGGCTTTATATAGAAAGTCAAGTTTTTTTTTCCTCCAAACATGTTCATTCCAATTAAAAAAACACGTTATTTAATCTATGAAAAAACTCTTTCAAATAAAAACTTTCTCAATTATATACAGAAATATTAATTCATATAAGACTTAATGAAAAATCAACCAAACAAACTTGTTATACTTCCATCTATTCATCCTAAATTGATTATTCATGTTAGTTGATTTGATTAAAGTTAAATAGAAATGAAGTGATTGATATTGTTATGAAAATATGAATTTATAACGAATATATATATATATATATATATATATATATTTTTTTTTTTTGTTCTAACCACAAAAATGGTGTGTAATTGGTTTAAGCTTAAGCTTTAAAAGTCAAAAGTGTCTGGAGGTCCCAGGTTCGAATTCAATAAGGAATAAAAATCCTCTTGTGATTACAGAGGTTCAAATGCGGTGACTCCGCGGGTGGTCGTCTTGGGATTAGTCGGCTTGCATAGCAGGTTGAATATTCATGTTAATAAAAAAAAATATCTTGGTTCTGACATTTAATCAAAAAAATTATGTATTTTTGCTAATATGGTATAATTAGATTCCGGCTTTAATGATTCTAAGGTGGTGTTTGTTTTTTAAGAGATGTTGAAGTCTTTTTTCACTTCTAACTAATAAGATGTAGTGCTAAAATCTGAAATCTGAATCAGTAAGACTGTTTGTTTTGTAACCGATAAATGTCTGAATTTATTTAAATTGTCTATTTTACCTATTAGAAAAATATAGTGTTGAATTTGTAAATAAATTTATACAATTTCACATATTTATTCATCATCATTACGAAATTTACATTTAAATTATATAATTAACATTCATTTAAACTAAAATATGTCATCAACGGTATTCAACACATTTAAATCCTATTAAAATACATCAACTGAAAGAGGTGATGATCAATTCGGTAAGGTTAATCGATTAAGAAATGTTGTTGCCAAGAGTTTGCAGAACAATAAAAGGCAAATAAGAAGTTGGTTTACCTCTTACCAAATAAGGGTAGAATAAGACATAATTGCCTCTGAAAAATTGAAACAAAGGTCAATTTTTATAAAATGGTCAATTTAGAAATATTGAATTGATTGTGTTTTAATTCACAACTATTAAATGAGGTTTGAGTTACATTTTAGCAATTAATTTTTAATTAATTGTGCATATCAAATCTTCTTTATTGCTTGCTTAATTAGTTAATTAATTTTTTAATTATTAAAATTCTCTCTTAAAAAACATGAATAAACTTTGCCATTAAGTCATTACTTTCCAAAATTAGATTATGTTGTTAAGTAAATATTTATCTGGTACAAAATATCGATCGTGAATCATTCAAACGGGGATTCCTTGTTTAAAGATGTTCATTTGTACATGTATCATATAGGCAAATTGCATGAAAAAGTAGCGTACTTTAACTTGATTCTTATTTTGGGTAACGTACTTTCAAAACTTCTATTTTGGTACCTAAGATGTAAGGTTTTAAACATTTAACCGGTTACCATGCTGATGTGGCGAGTGATGTGGTATCCAACTCAGTATCATACCGGATACCACATCACTCGCTACATCAACATGGTAAGTGGTTAATGCTTTAACCAGTTACCCGGATACTTAAATGTTTACAACTTTACATCTTAGGTACCAAAATAAAAGTTTTGAAAGTACGTTACCCAAAATAGGAATCAAGTTAAAGTACGTTACTTTTCATTCAATTTGTCCTATCATATATACCACATGTGATAAGAGAACATCATTTCCGCTCAAATCCATTTTGTATAAAGAGTAGTGCATGAGATAAAGTCTGTACACATCCCGTCATATTTAGGTAGAGGTAAAGTCTATACACATCCCGTCATTCTTGGACCCTACTTTTGGACGAGGTGCACTGTTCTTTTTTGTAAATATAGGTGTCCAGGCCAATTTATACGCAAACCCTCCTTTTGGATGAGATACACTGTCCTTTTTTGGTAAATATAGGTGTCCAAACCAAGTTACACGCACATCGGTTAATCTATGAGGCTCTGAAGTTAACATCCAAGCAAACCGTCTGGTGACCTTGAAAGCTTTTGAACCGGTTATCTCCATGGAGTATTGGAGCAACCTAAGGGACTGTTTGGTAATTGCTGAATGATTTGGTGCAGAATGATTAAGTGGTCAGAATGATTAAGAGGCTCTCATGATATAATTCAAAATGAACTATAATTGTTTGGTAATTGTGTACAATGAAATTAGGGCTCTTAATGGTTAAGGGAGATCCAGTATACAAAATCATTCAGAGGGTTTTAGAAACATTAAGAGGTAGACTTTTTTTTGCCAAACAAGATTCACCCCTTAACGATTCAAAAGTTGCCTCTTAATGGAACTATTAAGAGGTAAACAAACAACTTGGGCCATGAAATGAATCTTGATCCAAAGACAAATCATTGAAAAATAACTTCATTTCTTTATAATTTCATCACTTTGTTTTCTGCCCAAACCATACACACATACAACAGAATGAAACACACAAAAGATACAAACCATCAACACTTTTTTAACACATATAACAAAAAGCATCAAACACACAAACCACAAGTAAAAGTAAAAATTGAACCTCTCAAGAACCTTTGAAGTTTTTCATGGTTTAACATGAAGAAGAACCCTTGCTGGTTTCACCAAGATTCGATGGACCAGGACTCGGAGTTTGCTTGATTTCTAGCCGCTTTCCTGGGGATCTAGGGCTCCTCTTGACCCTTAACTCATGCACCCGTGGGCTATATGAAGGCTGCATTTCTCGTGGAGTTTGGGGGGTTGAACTTGTGATCTTTGGGCTGTTAGTATGGCGGATCTCTCCTCGGCTTCTTGTTATAATTCCGTCAAGAACTTCTGCGCTATCAATTTGGGATGCTTGGGAATGAACATCTTCCTCCTGCACATGACAGGATCATTAGCTACGGCTGATGTGAGAATATGTGGAACCCCATTAGATTACTCTTCAAAAGAACGCTTCTAGAAAGAAGGGGTTTCAATATATGTTGAAGAGAAAGTGTCCATATCTGACCAATGCGTGACTCTAACACGCATCCTCCGAAGGAGGTTAGACAGGCAAAGGTGTCCCAGATGGTAGATCTTGTACCATCTTGGCTCTGATACCATGTGAGAAGATGTGGAACATCGTTAGACTACCTCCAAAAAAGCCCTTTAGGGGAGAGGGGGCGGGTTCGAACATATATTGAAGAGAAAGTTGTCCGAGTCTAACCAATGTGGACTCTAACAACCCCCCCCCCCCTCCAGTGAAGGTTAGAGGGGCAAAGATGTCCTATAGTGTCCCGGGCAAAGATGTCCCAGATGGTGGATCTTGTACCATCTTGGCTCTGATACCATGTGAGAATATGTGAAACCCCACCAGATTATCCTCGAAAGAGCCCTCAGGAGAGGAGGGATTCCAACATATATCGAAGAGAAAGTTTTCAAATCTAACCAATGTGAGACTATAACGGTTCCTAGTCTCTAGCATAATGCAATTTCTTTCGGGGTTCTTTTCTTTTTGTTTTAAAGCTTTCTTTCAAGGGGACAACCATTTAAAGTCACATAAATGGTCTTTTTGCAAAATGCAAGAAGACCACCACATAAAAAGATTGCAAAGCAAAGAGCTTGTGCCAAAGGGTCAATGCCGCAACATCCGAATTACCGGTAGATCCCAACCTCCTTGGAGGTCAAGGGTTCAAGCCTCACCAAAGTTAACGAGCGTGTGTCAGTGTTTTATAATATATAAATATTATATACTTAAAAAAACCAGACCATGAATGGTGCACCATGGGTTCCCTTCTTTTCGCAAATGAAGTTAAGTCAAAGAAAGTTGACTTACACCAAAGGCCATATTGTAGGTTGCAGGAGGGGATTCTTCGTATTCAGCCGCATCCAAATCTTGAAGATGAGCACCTTTGAAAAGTTTCGGAAGCAAATATTGTCTTGCGGGAACAAGAAGCATGATCAAAAGTGGGAAAAGAACACTAGCTATCGGGATCCAAGTTATGCCAAAGCAAGCGAGCAAGTAAAACGTCTGAAACAACGTGAAACCCGCAACCGTCTTGAAAGGTACGGTTTCTACAAACGTTGCATGGTTTTCTTCCAAGACCCTGATTAAATGAAATGAAAGTAACGAAAGATTAGAACGTAAATATAAAGAGTTAGTGACAACAACATTTTGGAGATATCTATCTAAGGCCATGTTTGGCAACCATAAGCTAGCTTATTTTTTGAGCTTATTGAAAAAACCCGTTTTGTAAGCCATAGCTTTTTGAAAAGCTACTTCAGATAGCTTTTCTTTTTAAAGTATATAAATATTATAAACAACAAATGCAACAAATAAACTCACACACCCTCTTACCTTTGATGAGGTTTGAATCCTTGACCTCCCATGAAGGCCAAAGGCCCATATACCACTAGGCCAAAAGCCCTTTGGTTACTTCAGATAGCTTATTGGGGTTCTTTTTCATTTTTTTTTCAATTATTCCCCTATTTTCCTTTTAGGTCATTTTACATTATCATCTAACTTATCAACTCGTTTTTACCAAATATCAGCTGATTGCTAGCTTATTAGTCAACCGATAGCTTTTTGGCTATGTTTGGCAACTCTAAGATTATTAGCTAACAACTAGTTTATAAGCCAACAACTAGCTTGTTGAAATACCCGTTTTGTAAGCCATATAGCTTATAAGTTATTTTTATGAAAAGCTATGTCAAATAGTTTATTGGGACTCTTTTTCACCCTTTTCCAATTAGGCCCCTTATATTTTCCTTTCGAGTAAATTACGATTTTAGTCCCTATGGTTTGTTAATAATTTCGATTTTCATCCCTATGGTTTGCAATTTGTTGCGATTTTCATCCCTGGGCTAATTCCTACCTTTAAGTATAAGGGGCCAAAATTGTAAACCACGGGTGACTGAAACAACAATAAATTATAAATTATAAGAACGAAAATAACAATAAATTACAAACCATAAGGACGAAAATGGCAATTTTTAACAAACCATAGGGACGAAAAATGTAATTTACTCTTTCCTTTCAGATCATCTTATATTGTCACCAAGCTTATAAACTGGTTTTTACCAAAAGTGACTAGTTTATCAGCTAACAACGAATAGCTTATTAGCTATCAACCAACTTTTCGTTTAACAAATAGCTTTTCAGCTATTTTACCAAACATAGCCTAATTCTGATTTGAGCAATGCTATGTTTGAATCTCTAATGGGTACCAATTAAAGATGCAAATGGGAGCTAAAACTTACTTGTATCTTCGGCTTGGAGCAGTGAAAAGCAATAATATTCGTTCCCAAAACTGATTACCGGGCAAGCTTTCAATGGCCATAAAAGCAAAATATCCCCAAAGAACTGACGTCGGGATCTTCTTAAGCATCGGCATGGCAGCAACACAACCACCGACCATCAACGCTTGTAGTAAATTACTCAACCGTTGCTCCTTCACTTCAACGTGCAATAAATCATCGATATCTTTATTCACATCAAACACAGTTTCGTCAACGGGTGCATCGATGTAACCACCACTGGACGCTTGTTGTATTGTTGATTCTTTTAGATCTTTCAGTCCCTGTTTAAACCACAATTACTAATAGAGAATGCACTCAAATGGATCGAAATCCTATAAAGTAATTTATTAAGACATTTAGGGGGTGTTCGTTGGTTTTCCATTTAGTCCTGTATAGATAAAGTTGTCTGTGTGAATTAATCTGTTTGTTAGATTGGGAAGGTTTTTTGTTTGGGAGGGCATTTTCATAGATGGAAGGAGCATGTTTTTTAATCGGGAAGGGAAGGTTTAGAAAAAACTTGGCTTTCTGCATAAAGCCCCCCTTAGAAGCTTATTGAATAAGCCACTTTCTATATCACTAAGTCACTACCAAACAGTCATTTATAGTTGACCGAATAGTTGTGAGTCCCATTAAGCTCATTAAGCTGCTAACAAACAGGCCTTAGACATATTTCGCGTCCTGTAATTTTGTTGTAGTGAATTACTTCCTTTGTCCCAAAATAAGTGTTCACATTTCTATTTTAGTTTATTCTAAAATAAGTGTCTACTTTCCAGTTCTACCCTTACGGCCGATTTGGTTTGCGGAGTTTGTTAGGATTTGGAGGCATTTAGAATTGAATTCCATACCAACCCCGCCTTTGGTTTAAAGGAAAGTCCGGAATTGAAATCCGGGGATTTCAATGAAGTCCCACAAACATTGGATTTAGAAATCCCATGGGGGTAATTAGTATTTCATGGGATTTCATATGATTTGTTTGTAATAATGTTTTGAAATACGTTAAAAATATTCTTTTGTGATAATCAATTAATAAAAGATAATTTAATTATTTTTATAATTTAATTTTGTAAATTATCTATAAAGAATGGAATTCGATCATACCCAACCAAATTTTTCCACAAAATCCAAATCCCTCAAGCCCTAATTATCAAATGGAGAATTCATTACTCCTTATATTATTAAGAGTATAATTGTCATTTAGCTAATTAAGAAGTGTAATAATCACACATTTTTAAAACTCTTTGCCTTTTTCATTGTGGACATTTATTTTGGGACAGGAGTATTTAATTACCAGAGTTGATGGATTCTGATAAACGAGCGGAGTCTGCATTTCGTTGTATGCTTGTTGCATGTTCCTGTACAGTTCACCCAAGTTTGAGTTTTCACGTATGCTTCTTCGAGCTGTAGATACAAGTTTATTCCGTAGAAGCTGTTTCAAGAGTACAAAGAAATTATTTCGTTATAATAAACATAACAAAGATAATATACAGTTTACGCTCTAAAGAAATATTTATAGGAAAGGCATAACGATACCGTCAATCATATTTTTAGTCGTCTCGTGTATAAATTATTCTTTGGAAAAATTTCACCAACTTTATATTGTAAACATTTATGAGTACGTTATATGAGAATATGTGGAACCCCATTAGATTACTGTCCAAAAAAGCCCTTGAGGAGAGACAGGAGGTTCCAACATATATAGAGGAGAAATAAGGGGTTGTTTGGTTGATTTTCCATTAAGTCCTGTATGGTAAGAAATGTTTGTGTGGATTAACCTGTCTGTATAGATTGAATAGGTTTTTGTTTGAGAGGGGTTTTTCATAGATGGAAGTAGCGTAATTTTGTAATTGGGAAGGCAGATTTGGAAGAAAAACTTGGCTTTTTGCATAAAGCTCCCCCCTATAGCTTGCTGAATAAGGCACTTTCTATATTATTAAGCCACTACCAAACACGTAAAGCCGACCAAATAAGTTGCGAGTCCCATTAAGCTCATTTAGCTGCTAGCAAACAGACCCCAAGTCTAGCCGATGTGGGAGTCCAACACATTATTTTCTAGGCAAAATTTTATCTTCCATATTTATGTAAGCTATCATCATCTTGGAGAATTTTCTAGATTCTTGGTGTAGAAAAGATTGATGATTAATGAACTATGTAGAGCAAAAGAATAAAAGGGTCATCATGGAAACAAGTGTTCCACCCTTTCAGGTTAAGGACAGATCTCTGTACATCCCACCCTCAAAGACCCCACTTCTGGATGAGATATATTGGTGTTTATTGTATTGATAAATTGTCTGTGATTCTGCTTCCGTCATTAAAATCTATTTCAAACCACCAAATTGAGAAATCTAGGATCCAACCTCATTTGGTTTGGTTTGGTTTGGTATAGGACATAAGAATGAAAAAGGAATAGGAAATCAAGGAAAATAAAAATAAAAAGATGCTATGTTTGAATCTTCAAATATGAAAGGTTGACTCTTTCGGGTGGCCAAGGGGGTACTAGTTTTTTATTTATAAATTATTTATAGGTGTACGATATAATTTAGAAAACAATACCATGGTAGCATGCGCATTCACAATCACACATCATCAATAAAATTGACCAATTAATTTATCTAGACTGCATCATGCTGCTATGATAAAATAAGAGTACCTGATGTTTCAAGGTGGCTAAGCTCTTTGTGTGCATAGGAGATTGTGGAATAACTCCATTGGCGGGAGGAATGCCAATTAGCCCACATAGTAAGGTCTGATCACAAAGAGAAAAAATAGAAGATAAATAAAAAAATAAACCGAACGGAACCGAACCAAACAAACCCAGTATATCCCACCTGGAGGTGGAGGTGGGGTCACGGAGTGGGATGTATGCAGACCTGACCTCTATCCCAAATAGTAGAGTGGTTGTTTCTTGAAAACCCCCGTGAATTGTGCATAAGATAAATAGATAAATGCATATACTAGGGGTGTGTTTGGTACGCAGGAGAAGACAAAACAAAAACTTGTTTTTCTACATTGGTGCGATATTTTGACCTGGAGATGGCAGGACCGAGTGGTGTCCCACAAAAATAGGTGGAACAAGAATCAGGGAAATGAGACAAGATTGGTAAATTACTAAACTACCCATGTCAAATTAATACCCTAACACCTTTCATAATTCTTTCATCTTTCTACCTCACTCTCGCCCATATAGTCCACTCTCTTCCTGTTCATTCCTATCAGTCCCGTCTGCATACCAAACGCACCCTAAATGCACAACCATGCTACACCATTGCTTGTCAGTTTATCTAGGCTTGGGAATTCCCTTCTTAGCGCTTTGCAAAGAGATTGTTTCAACGACTCAGATGGAGTAACCTTGTCAAGTCTCACCCCCCACAAAAGATGATTATACTCCCTCCGTCCCAGAATAGATCTCCACAAAGAAAAAGGCAGACAATTTTAGAAATGTATAATTATTAGATATTTCAATCAACCAAATGATGATGCTACCCTTAATAACAGAGGGAGTAATGAATTTCTCCATCTCTTAACTAAGGGTAGAATTGGAAATAGACACTTGCTTTTGGAAGTGGACATTTATTTTGGGACGGAGGGAGTACTACAAAAACTTACTCTTTGCCTACATGGGAGAAAGAATCAAAGAAATAGGAGTAAATTCCGATGGAGGATCTCTTACCAAAAAGCCTAAAAGAAGAAGGTCGTAATGATATGAAGGAGGCTTCTTCAAATTGAACTCTTTTTGTTGGGCAAGCTGAGATGCAACACTGTGATCAAAATAGTAAAGCACAGCAATCATGGTGGCTGGAACCACTGCTCCAATAATATAAACAGGGGGGACTTTCAACATATCCTGCAAAACATGATATTGAAGAACAAATATTTCAAAAAACATATTTTTTTTTCTTAAAACCAAACCAAACCCAACCCAGTAAATCCCACCTAGAAGTGGGATCAGGGAGGGGTGGGATGTAGGCAAATCTGACCTCCACCCCAAAGGGTGGAACGAGGGCGGACCCAGTTCATTAGATACGGTGCCACAGGCCGCCACTACGTTCCTCTGTCATAAGCTAAAAAATTTAGGCTCGTAAAAGGTGAAACAGTATTGTAATGTTGGGTGCCACCATATATATTGTGAAACTACAGTAATAACACAAGCTTGTCCTGGTAGAGTTGGTTTGGGCGACTTTTCTCTCATCCCGGGCACCGATTTGAATCCCTTTTCAATTTTCTTAGTTTTTAGCTGTTAATTTCAGGTTTATTATGTTTCTAAAAAATTATGATAGAAGACTCGACCTCACATATAATTAATAAGGAACTAAACAACAGACCAATGATAGTTTTTTGAAAAATATCCACAGCTTCGTTTTTTACAGCCAAATGGTGCCACCACTTAAAAAAACTCCTAGGTCCGCCTTTGGGTAGAGCAGTTGTTTTCGTGAAGACCCTGGGTTGTGTAAGGTGTACAGAAGAAAAGGATAAAGCTTGCAACAAAAATGCGGAAAAAAGTACATTTGAAGTATGAAAAGGCACCTTTGCAACAGTCCAATTTGAATAAGCACCAGGAGACCATGGGTTCGGACTGAAAAGCCGCCTTGGTATTCCTTCTGGGACACTTTTAGTCGGTATGTATGACACCCCAGTCCAAACAACTACCATAAGAGGGACACCATAATCCGCAATAAGTCCTCTTAGCCACCCTTGAAACAAGAATCAGAAGTCAGCAAACTCAAAAGGAAAACGCTAATGATATTGAAAAATTACATATCGAGTTTCAGATATCAGTTATACATCATCAAGATCGATAAGTAGCAATAGGCTTTTAAGTTCTCCCCCCCCCCCCCTCCCGGGATCCCAAGGGTGAGACACTAACCTGTTCCATAGCGCCACGACCTTGCTTTACGGCTTTTTATAGAAGTAAGAAGAAGGCCAAAGGACAAAACCAAAGCAAACATTCCGTTTCCAAAACGCCATGAAGGTTGAAGAGCAGGCTGATTAGGATTTTCACTTTCTGGTATACCAAACTCCTCCACAACTCCCTATAAAACGATAATCTTGTCAGATTGTTTGGCTTCTTGATGCTCACTTCTAGGCTACCAAAAATTTGGAGGCATCTTGAATGACATGATCAAGGAGAATCTTGTATTGAATCATTCAGATGTAGGTGAAGGACCTTAATTTGTAGCTACTAAAAACATACCAAAGGGTGATCATGGGGGCAACTAGAAAGCAATAAGAATTGTATTTATAAGAATGTGGAACCCCATCAGATTACTCTCCAAAAGAGCCCTTGAGGAGAGAACGTAGGCTTAAACATATATCGAGGAGAAATGGTCCAAGTCTAACCAATGTGGGACTCCAACACGCCTCCTCGAACAGAGGCTAGACGGTTATAGATTGTCTCGAAAAGAGTGATAAACCTTGACTCTGATACCATGTGAGAATATGTGGAACCCCATCAGATTACTCTCGAAAAGAGTCCATGAGGAGAGAAAGAAAGTTTCAACGTATATGAATATTATGGAGGAAGGGTCCAAGTCTATCCGATGTGGGACTCCATCAGTACTCATATAGTATCAAGTGGTAGTTACAATCCTTTCATACAAAATCATTATAATTTAGTAAGTTTTATTTAAGTTAAAATGAAGAATAATCATACTCACTTTAATAGCTTGCTGCATGAAGAGCATTGCAATTAGAAGACCAAACAATTCACCGGCTATTCGTGTGAATCTATTGATGATAGAGCACGCACCCAGAATCGATAGCATAACCAGCAGAAAGGCAGTCCACACACAGACCCTGTTCTCATTAAAACGAACTTAAAAGCCAGACTTCTTCCAAAACCAAACTAAACAAGCCCGGGATATCCCACCCGGAGGTGGGGTCTCAGGGGTAAGATGTACATAGACCTAACCTCTACCCTAGACTATAGAGCAGTTGTTTTCCTGAAGACCAGGTGAAAAACAAGTACGCTAAAAACTGAATTTTTTCCGAGTATATACTAATTTTAAGCCAAAAGTGTTCAGAAAATACCATCCGGTCCAGGCTAGGAAAAGAGGCTTCCCTAGGTCCTTTTGATCCTTTGCAAACTTGAACATAAACGTGTACATTAACACGGTTGGCTCAGCCACACCAAGAATAAGAAGTGGCTGCCCTCCAACTATGGAGTGGATGATGCCACAAAGTGCGGTTGACGCTAGAGTTTGCACTGCCGTTAGACTTCCCTCTGTATCAAATAAACATTAAAATTTGATTTTTTAGACTTTAGTCCATAAACCGACCGATAATATGAACATATTAACACTGTAAAGTTCTAACCGGTATCTCTTTCTAGTTGCTCCCCAAAAGATATAACTGGAATTGCTGAAGCAAAGAATATATACGTCGTTGGAGCCAGAATCCTAATAATAAAACAAGCAAAGACTTCCAGATTATTAAAAGCATAGTAACGCTATTTTATATCAAGAAAATTATCCCAAGTTTTATATCACAGACCTGATACCCGCCCGGATGCCTCCAGTCCAGTCTTGCTTGTAGCACAGTAATCTTCCTTTGAGATCATTACGGATTCCATGGAAGGGAACGAATGTTTCTTCCATAGATATACGTTATTTTGTATATATACAACCCTTTATATATACTCTCTTACTATGTGTTTGTTTTTCTTCTCTTTTTGGACAATCGAAAGGATAAGACAACAATTGAAGTGGACGAAAAGGGTTGAGAGGCTAAAAACACAACAATTCAAACATGCACACGAAAGATATGTAAAGAAATGGGCAGAAATACAAGGACTTTTGCTACATCACTAAAAGAGTGATGACTGAAGTAATTATGCTGAATCATTTGTGTTGTTATGTAATAACCCCCATGAAATCCGTGAAGTTATAATATCTGCAATTGCTAATATAATTACATCTCAGGGGATCACTAAAGAATCAGTGAGTATATATTGCTAAGAATAGTTAAAGAATCAAATTAGTAACTAATGTGAACCAAAATAGGTTGTTCTTCCCTACTTAAACTCCATGCCCGTATGCGACTGTTAATGAAATTAACGGGATGAAATCATTGTTATTCAATAACTTGATAAATCAACGAAATAGCAAAGCACTCCCCATCTGCTTGAGACCCCTCAACTAACGTTGGATTTGATCAAACAGCAGATCCATTACCTCACTACACTTCTATGTTGGAGTAAAAACAAGTTCATTTCATCGAACAGTTGGAAGGCAGTGGAAATCACAAGAACAATTACATGTTATGAGCCTTGAGAAAGCAAACAGACTTCAAGATATCTGTTGAGAACTTGAAGAAAAGGTGGAATCCAGAGAGAGAAAAAATGGAAACTCTAACGAACCCCCATTTACAAAAAGAAGAATTCAAACCAATTCAAGCAAATGGGTATCTCCAAAAACGAAGAATAATTCGATCTTAATGTGAAATTAGCGAGAATGCAGGCTCAAAAAATATGAAAACTAAGACTCAGATAACCGTAGAACGATCCAATTGAGTACTAATTACTTCGTTTTTACATTATAATCAAAAAAAGAGAATCAAACCAGACAGTTCAACAGAAGATTGTGTGCCTTACATAACCTTCAATCTACATGAATTTGAAATGTACCCAAATCGATTGAAGAACCACAGAAAGAGAAGAAGGCAGGAAGGGATTGGAAGAAAAAGAGAGCAAGTCGTTTGGGAAGAAACTCTGAGAGTACTTGTGGCGTGAATGAAAGAGATAGTGTGAGGTCAAAGGTGAGTGAGCATATAAATAAACACTTCGTCCTGCTCCTGCTCTAAGAAAAAAACAAACCCAACACGCATAATTGATGAGATAGAGAGGGGAAGAATATAAAATTAGAGATTTGAGTTAAAAACGAGTAGAGTAGAGTGTAGCATTTTCATTGGAGCAACAGCAGACAGCAATGGCGATGGTGGAAGGGAGAGGAAGGAGTCGAAATCAGTGATGCAACCGAAAGATTTCAATTGATAACCATAAAAAAGACTACATACGTACGTGATATCACCAGCCAGCCTAGAGCCTAGTTGCCTTTTACGACAAATTGATGGAAATGTATATATTATATTATATTATATTATACAATAGTTGACAAAAACTCGTAAAAACAATTTTTTATACATGAAGTACTGTTTATTGATACATATTACTTAAAATTCAATATTACAATTAAATTGTGTCCAAGTACAACTTGGTAAAGCTTTATGTTTGATTTCGTGTAACTAACTGTAGGTAAACATAATCAAGTAAAGAATAAATATTTTATTTTAAATATAAAAAATCTAAAATAAAATTAAGATAAAATCATTAACTTCCAACAAAATACTTAATTATTATTTTTATAAAAATATTACATTATTAAACTAAAAATAAAAAATGAATTAAAGAAATACAGAAAAAATAAAAAATTAAATAGTTAGTTTGCACTAATATCAATTTTTTTTTCAATTTTTTATGATATCTTCATATTTATATTTTATTCAAAACATAAAAAAACATTATCGTTTTATCAAAACCACATAAAATTGTATTTTAATATCGACCGAGACAAAAAAAATGAAACATTAAAATCGAGATGTATATCGCTGCATTATACGAGTAACCTTCTAGTATATATATATTAAAAGAAGAACCAAGAGTATTGAGATGGCATCGTCATTGAGGTGTTGGTGAAATGTGGTTGAGTTTGAGATATCTCATATTGGTGAAAGATTGGAATAAAGATGTGTGTATAAAAAAAGAATAATGAGATTCATTGTATCAACTCATGAGGTTTGAATCATAAGGCGATTTTATTTGGATGATCTTATTTTTGTAAAACAAATATTATATTGTGTTAGCTCATGAAACTTGTATATATATTTTTTAAACGGCAAATTGTATAACAAAATAACGTACTTTAAATTAATTTCTATTTCAGGTAACGTAATTGGTATATAAGATATAAAGTTTTAAATGTTTAATTACTGGGTGACCGATTGAAAACTAATTTTAGATTAATAAAAATTCATGTCACTAATCACGTCAACAGATAATACCGAGTTGGATACCACATCACTCGCCAAATCAGCATGGTAACCGGTTATGATAACAGGTTAATGATTCAACCAATTACCCGGTTATTTAAATGTTTAAAACTTTACATCTTAAATCCCAAAATAGAAGTATTGAAAGTACGTCACCCTGTGATTAATCGACTCGCATAGTGGGTTGAATATCCAAGTTAATCAAAATAAATAAATATATTGAATATTTCGAGTGACGTAAAATATCAGATGAAATTTATTTAATTTTATGTACGTTACATTTCTTATTTAATATAAAATATTGTTTTAGATCTGTTAAATTCGGTGTTGTTTCTTTTAATAATCGTTCGTGTCTAATACACAAGATCCACATTGATCCGACAAGTTTTAGGTTTTATAGCATGACTCATAACTGATTTTATATGTAATGGTTATTTAAAATCATAAATAATAATTTTTTTAAAATTTTTTAAATTTTTTTTTAAAAATCCAAATATTATATAATAATTAATTTGAAATTCCTTTAATCGATATATTACATATTTTTAATTATTTTTACCATCTTGTTTGTATTAGTTAATATAGTATATTCATTAATATTTGTTTCAATTATATTTTAAAATATTATAATCGATTAATTTTTAAAGATGTCTTTTTTGGTCATTTTATATTCTTATCAGATAGTTTTACCAAATATGATTTGTTTATAAGCTAAAAGTTAATTTATCAACTAGTTTGTCAAACATAGCCTTAAGGGGTGTTTGGGATTGCTTATTTGAAACAACTTATGTTTTTGTATAAAAGTTCTTATCAACTTATTGTAAGTTATAAGGGTTTAACTTATTCAAAAGCTTCTTATTACCGATTTATTACCGGTTTGACATCGGTATAAGTTGTTTATCCAAACACTCAAAAGTGTTTATTACCGGTATCACACCGGAACAAGTCAATAAGTTGTTTTTATAAACAATCTCAAACACCCCCTTAAAATTATGTCAAGTATCTTTAAGAGAATTACAAATTTACCCTTTATCGAATTAAATTTACATGTCAATTGTAGTATTACTATAGGAGTATTCGCACAATGCAGCGAGATACATCTCAATTTTAATATTTCTTTTTATATTTTTTTTGTCTTTGTCGATGTTATAATACGGTTGTATATGGTATTGAGAAAACGGTAATGACTTTATTTTTGAATTAAATATAAATATAAAGATATGTTATAAAAAACGTGAAGCTTTAATAACTTTATTGTGCGTAAGTATAACTGTTATATTTTTTTCAAGTTTTTATAATATATCTTTATATTTATATTTAATTCAAAAATAAAGTCATTACTTAATAAGCTTGAATTAAATATAAATATAAAGATATATTGAAAAATATGCATCAACTTATTAAAGCTTCATGTTTATTGATGCATATTAAATAGTTGTACTTACATACAATTTACTTGTATTTTTGAATTCTAAGTAATATGCATCAATAAACAGTACTTCATGCATGAAAAATGGTTTTTAAGAGTTTTTGTCAAATGCTTTATAATATAGTATAGATTTAGGTTTAAGATTCTAAATTGTATGGTGTATTAAGTTGTTTAATGATACCTACTACTCACATGTTTGATCAAAGATTTTGGATGGTTTCATTTGTTTTTGTTAATGTAACATGGATAAAAATCACAGTCGTTGATGATCCAAACAGGCGACAAACGATGTCCAAAAACACATGCGCTCCATGAATGAACAACAAACACATATGGGTTTGATAACTGAATACAAGAACAGATCTGTAACAACCATCTGATGCCCGAAAACCCAAGAGGCTCGTGTTTACGTCCGAACCAATCTACTTGATCGATTGCAGGTTAGATCCAACCTAACGATTTAAATCACAATGATATATTTATATATACTATATTATAAAGTATTTGATAAAAACTTTTAAAAACAATTTTTTAAGTATAAAGTACTTTTTATTGATGCATGTTACTTAAAATTTAAGATTACAAGTAGAATGTGCATGAGTACATCTTATTAAAGCTCTATGTTTGAATTCTTGTAACGAAGTGCAGATAAATTTAATAAAATACATGATAAACATTATTTTAAATATAAAAAATCTAAAATATAATTAAGATAAGCATTGAATTCTAACAGAATATTTAATTATTATCTTTAAAAAAATATTTTATTAAACCAAAAATAAATTAGTTCGTTTTTAAACTTCAATTAAATTATAATAAAAATTGAATTAAAGAAATTACACAAAAACGAGAACTTTTAAATAGTTAATTTGATAATAATATCGCTTATTTTTTTCATATTTATATTTCATTCAAAAATAAAAACATTTTATTTTTTCTTAAAACCACATAAAATCGCATTATAACATCGATAGACCCAAAATATAAAAAATGAAACATTAAATCAAGATGTATCTCGCTGCATTACACGAGTACCCTTCTAGTAATAAAAATATACGTACGTAAATATGTACAAACTTGTAGCCTTATATCAGTCCAAAAAAGTATAAACAACATCGTTTTCTACATATAACTTACGAAATCTTTCGTTTTTATTGTGTGCAAAATGGTTTGTAATCGGCAACCCTCGAGTAGACACGTCTTAAGAACATCATACGAGAGCCAAATCAGGTACATACCCGCTATAAAGAATTCAATCCCCAAATGTATTGCAACTTTTCTTATATCTTTTTTTATTAACCTGAATATCCAATCCGCTGTGCGAGCCGACTAATCCCAAGACGATCACTTGTTTTGCGAGTAGCCCGGAGTCACCATATTTGAAGCTTCATGGCCACAAGGGGATTATTAGTGCAAGTATATTACTACCAATTGTGTTATGCCATAGTGGCCATTAACAGTTTTATGCCTACTTTCCCTTTCAAAAGCAAAATATTGGTCGAATAACATGTTTTTAAACCCCTTTTTTTAAGTTTATTCCAGTGAATCAAGTTGAATATGAATAATTTGAAATTTTTATTCAGTAGAAAGAGTTTTTGAGACCAGTTAGTAAGATATTGTTCTGATCTCAATATAATTCAAATATTTTTAAGTAAAAAATAAGATAGAATCCGAACCTAATTCGATATCCAGATCTAAGTTGTCTTCAACAGTCAAAATTCAGAATCTCGAACCTACAAAGTTATAAGTAGCATCATGTTCCTCAAGTCGACAAAGTCAACAAATAATACTGGTTTTATTAAGGAATTGTTTGTTTACCTCTTAATAGTTCAATTAAGAGGCACGCCTCTGAATTGTTAAGAGGCACGCCTCTGAATTGTTAAGAGGTGAATCTTGTTTAGCAAAAAAAAGTTTGCCTCTTAATGATTTTGTAACCCGACCTCCCTTAAACCATTTAGCGCCCTAATTTCGTTGTAAATAATTATCAAACAATTATATTTTATTTTGCACCATATTATGAGAGTCTCTTAATCATTCTGACTATTTAATTATTTTGCATCAAACCATTCAACAACTGGCAAACAACCCTAATAATATTATCATCTCTTAATCAAAGTAAACAAAATTATTGTTTGCCTAGCAAAAATGTGTAATTGATCATGTATATATAATTATGAGAATTTATTTGAGAACGTATCAAATTGTGATAACCTTGAGAACTGGTACATCATGTCTTATTTCACATGTTCTTTTTTATATTTGTGGCTTAAA